TCTGTCTCCTCTCTGAGACAGGGGGTTTTGTGCAACTGTTGTGTGTCCTGGGCCAATTCATTTGTTTCTGTGACCAAATCCTCTTGCATCCACAGGCTTCTGTGTATTTTGTGTGTGCCAGCCGTGGTGGCTGTAGACCTCTGCTTTCTGCAAGCCGCGCTGAAGTGCTACGCAGCCCTTCCTCAGCCTGCAGCCCGCTCCTCATTGCTGCCTTGCTTATCCTGAGGAACTCCTTTTCAAAGGGCTTGCTGGATTAAAAAAAAAAAAAAAAAAAAGCATTTCCAAGTTCAAGTCCATTCCTTTAATTTCAGGATTATCACTAATTTGAGGTACTATCTTCCAAAACTGGAAGGACAGACCTGTGGCCCTGCACTTGGTGAATGGTGTAGAAAACCCAAGATTGTTCCCTTCAGTGAAGAAGCTTTCCTGTCTGGATGCAGCATTGTATTTCACATCCTAATAACTATTTGCTAGCGCAGGATTCAAGGAAATGTAGCTTTTCAGTTCCGCAAAAGGCCTTTCTATTCATTGAGTATTCATGAGGCAGCCAAGTAATTTTTCTACCATTGACTAATTCAGAGCCACTCTAATAAGAAAATATTTCTCCTGAGCCTCAGCTCTCTCCCTGCACATGATAATTCACTGGAGGCCCAATGAATTTAACTTAAAACTGGACTGAATTAGTTTTCCCATTCTACCATGTGCACAAGTCCTTGAACAACCTGATCTAACTGGACCTGCTTCGCCCAGCTGCACTCCAGACATCCCTCCCAACGCAAACATTTCCATGACTGCAGCCAAGGATTGTGCCGAGGATTGTCTTGCAGAGGTACGGACCAGAGTCCCTCAGAGTCAGACATTTGCCACCAGCAATCAGTGAAAACAGGTCTCAGTATGGGCTTTTCGTCATAAAATTTACACTATGGAAATGTCTGGATATCCTGAGTTATCCTTTATCAGTGAAGCAGACAGTTTTCCCAAATAGTTTCATTGATGTTTAACTCTGACAATTTGTGAGTGGTGTTTAGTTTAAAATATTCAATGCTTCCATTATTTTTGTAAAAGCCATGGCTATAGGGAAATGCAACTATAAATCAACTGATGACTTGGACAGAAAAAAAGATCTGCCTAGAAGCCTCAGCAGGCTGTGAAAGGACCTGTTTCCACAAGCTGAGCTCCTTGGTATCTGAGCTATGTCCTGGTCTTGACTTGTTGGTAACAATGTTAAAGATTTATCTCCATAGAAAACTTAATTAATCTGAGTAATAAAAAGTGTTAATCCTCTCTCTAGTGTTTTCTGTTGTGCAAATATACAATGTTTCCTATAGTAACATTAAGAACTGCCGTGTGCTTATTCAGAAGTAAAGAATTAACACTTAAGTCCAGGATTTTTCTCTCACACTGGGAAAATGCCATCCTCCTGTATATGGACACAGGAATCTTCTGCAGACAAGCCTCCCGAGGGTTACCATTTGCTTTCCTGACAGTTATGCCCCTCTTGTCTCTGACAAACTCTGTTGTGCTCTCACCTCTGCCTGTCCTTTCTGGCTGTCATTCAGATGATCAGGGTTTTTTTTCATGGCTTGCATAGTGAACTGTTAGCATGACTTGACTGTCACCTGGAGGTACAGAGTCTCAGCAAGCAGAATATGGATACAACTTACGCTTTTAAGCTTTTCTCAAAGGCAGAAACAGGGCATCACTGCCTATTCTAATCCACTAAAAATCTGCCCCAAACTAGTTTTTAAGATTCAAGTGTTAACACATGTACCTGCAAAACACTGCTGTGACTACAATGCCATGCTTATAATTTTATGTAGAAGCCACTGGAAGATTTTTTTTTTTAAATAAATAGGTGTATCTGTGCTAGTAAAGTAACGAAATAGAGGGAGAGAAGTTTGGGATTATTTAAAAATATTAAGCGTGCTCTATAAATAATATATTTAAATTAAAAGGTGTTAGAAGGGATCGAGGCCATCATCCCATGGATTTTTAGACAGTTCTGAAGTTTTTTTGTGGAAGAAAATGAAATCTATTTCTTAAACCCGTAACAAATTTTCCTGAGAGCTCTTACTTTGGTTTTCTTCCACAGCAGTACAGATGGCTTTTTGTTTCCTCAATCAGACAGGCAGGCTGCAAGGAGCCATTCGAGAAATTCAGCAGTCTTCTCTGATCTCAGCGTTTTACATGGACTTACAACTCACCCTAAAATAGCAGTAATAAAGTGAACAAGAGCTAAATGATGAGCTCCACAATTAAAAGCACCGAGGGTAGATCAGCAAAGATCCTGCGTGTTGCGATGCTGAGCACAGCATTGCTGAGCCTGAGCTCTCTGCTGCTTACCCTGGGGTATGCATGTGTTCCCCAAAGCAATGCATAGATAGAACTGACAATCACAGTCAAAATCCCCAGACATCACCAGAACAGGGAAATTTATAAAGCAGCAAGAGTTAAAAGCAGATGAAAGGTCCAGGTCTTGGCACTTACCTTACCAGGCCTTTTTGTGACTCAGGATCCTCAGCCTTGAACATCTAATATTTAGACACCTAAGCCTGGTTTTCCTAGCTATCAAAAGCCACATCTGAGAAGAACCTATTTCTAAGTGGTTAAAGCTTCTCCTCACTGTATAAGGAGACCCTTCCATCAGATATGGGTCTGTTCTACCAGATTTGGAATATGGACCTGGTCTTCTCTACATTAACCATGGGCAATGGCCTCCCATGATAAAATGCTCCTAATCTTTCCTACTGCAGTTGTTTCACTTTCTGAAGACCACGGAATGAATAGCAATTATTTACTGGTTGAATTCAAACCAGTGCTCTAATAAATAGTATTCATAAACTGGAAGAGTTTGCACAAGAAAGGTGGAGAGACCCAGAGACCCAGTGGGCAGCCCCTTGAATTTAAACTTTATAGCTGAGGTGAATGGAACACATGTGTGTATGAACACATCCTCCTCTCCAGGCTTGTGGGGCTGGTTTTTGGGATGCTGAGAGGCTATGTGAGGAGGCGGGGAAACAGCTCAAGTCGTAGCAGAGAGACTGCATGCATGGCACCAGCCTGGCGGTGGGAGCATCTGCTGTGCCCAGTGCACTGACGGCGTGACAGCGACCTTGAGTGCGCTTGCCTGGATTGTGCAGCAGCAGACTGACTGCGTGGAAGATTTCGGTGACATTTAAATGGTGGATGTCTGTACCTCATCATCTTTGCTGATATGTTCGTAAAGCCACATATAAAAGATAAATTCTGTATCATGTGGTAGTATGGGTAAGGTGAAGGAATCACTAGTTGACGTAACATGGATTTTGGTTTGAAGATGCTCAGGCAAATTTATTACAACAGCTCCTTTTGCCTGGGAAATATTTAAGGCAAAGTAGACCTGTAGTTCTGATTCAATTCGAGTATCTCACCAGCATTCAACAAAGGTTGCTGCCCTCAGAAGCATTTAAATATATCAAAAGCCCACAGAGCATAAGGCTAGCAGATGGCAAGGCTTGCTCGGACTGAAGCAGGCTGAGGAGGATGTTGATGCTTCTGTTTTCCAGATGGCAATGCACATTGCGAGTCAAATGAGCGCTAGGAACTGCACAGTGCACTTACCAGAGCACAAAGCAGATGTCCCACTATTATTTGCTATGACCTTCTTTTACGGCGCTCCTCGGTTTTCTTCCCCTGGCAAAGCCAGCCATTTGGAATTTAAAATCTTCTGGCCCAGACTCAAACTCTAATGGTGAGCAAACCCAGGTGGGGAAATGCATATGGATGTATGTGTGAATTTTGTTATCTAAAATACTCAGTAATCGTATTAGGAAGGCGTACAGTGCTGCTGTGCTGTGTGCTTCAGCTATTGCACCTTGCCTGAAGAAATTAATTCTGTAACGCAGAAGTGTGGCAGTCTGGGAATGGATGTGCCTTAGCAGCAGCCCGTACAGATGCTGGGGATCCCCAGCCACTTGGTGACAATGCTTGTGTGAACATGCACACTACAGAGAAGTCAAACAGTACCATCCTCACAGTATTGCCGCCAACCTGGACCAGAGGCAGGAGGGTTTGCTGGCGGCCGGCGCACAATTGCCCAATGAATCCTCTGCATGTGTGTGTTCGTGGATGTTCACCGAGGCTGTCACAGAAGCAATTGTTATAATTAAGGATTTAACCTCATTCCATAAATTTTCCCAAGGTGTTTAGGGAACCATTATTATTTACTAGCCGTTTTATGAAGTCGGCTGGCTGTATCGCTGCACTTCTCCAGAAGGCAGGAGCCCACACCTCAGTGACGTGGCTGACGTCAGTCCCAGTTCTCAGGACAGAGTGTGACAGGGTTGATGACAGCAGTGTGACCTGTGCTGCAAATCTCAGTTCACTGCTATTGTTCAGCCAGTGCGGACGTGGAACGGGGAGAAAAGCAGAAGTGGCTTAAAGTGCAGAGGTAACTGCAGTCAGAGCAACATGAAGAGGCTTAGTGTAAACAAAAATCTGGTTCTGTGCGGTCTAGCGTGAACGGCTCAGCGACTCATAACATGCATTTCTAGAGGAGAAATGTGTGGTTTTGTTAAACACTTCAGAAAAAAAATGTATTGAAGCGTATCTCCCCCTTCTGGAAACTCTACCTCTACAAAGCGCGCGAAGACTGCGGCATACAGAAGTTATCTTTCAAGCATCTGTTATTTCTATTTTTAATGCTTAAAGACATACAGTATTCTTTATTTTATAGTGCTCATTTCTAGTACGATGAAAAGTAAAATATTATTCGAAATGAAGGCAAAAGGAGATGGTTTACGCTGGGCTGCCGAGGGCTTTCCTCGCGTTATTAAATTGATGACATTCAGTGAGGCAACACCAAGTTCTTCAACAGAAGTCCAAATCCCGCCGCTGTTCGGAAGGATTTCGTGTCCTTACCTTGCGCTTCTGTTCGAACGAACCCCGTGATTTACGCCCAGCTGCTATTTTATTTTATCCCTGTTCCCACTCGGGGTGCGCCAGGCTCCTGCTGGGGCGTTATGCGATTTCTTGGCTCTTCCATCAGAAAGGTGCTGTCGTCTGCAGAGCAGCTTCCCGAAGACCTGGCAGAGGGCTATGCGGTGCTCCGAGGGGGCCCGAAGGACCACCCGGCCACCTCCGAGCCCCCGGCAGCCCTGCCCGCCGCTCGGC